ATAGTTACCCAATACAGCCGTTCAGAACAGACTTAATTTCTTATTGCACTTTGTTTTTTTCCCCTTAGAGAACAATCTGTCGTGATTCTCTTAACGTTTTACACTTTGCCCATACTTATCCGCGTACATACATATTTCGAATAAAGTCCCCGTTTTGTCAGGTGCATACCGGTTTGCTTGGCTCTATCGAACACCTCACTTCGAATTACCGAAAGCTTAATTTAACACTAACTTCACAACTCATATCATGCACCAATTTACTCACACTATCCCACCGTCCACGATACGTGTGACTAGTAATAAATGTTACTTGAATATAACTTAAATATCTTTCCGTCGCTAATTATACACGCGTGCATATATGCATTACATATATGTCTATAAATTTGTTTCACTTTCATGCTTCGGCTTTCCATTGCTTTCTATTAAAAATGTCTAAGTGGAATGATCGTTATAACTGGGAGATTAAGAGTATTCAAAGCTAATAAAAATGAGAATCGCTAAAATGGTATGCAGGTTGATTCGCGAGAAACAGAACATTCGAATAACTCTCTGCTGAATTCAATGTGTTCTTCGCGAGAATTACATGCTTTTAACTCGAAACTACTGCTTCATATAGTGTTTTTCGCTTCCTTGACCTATTTACCAGGTCGATTTCTGTTATCATGGCTACGTATATGGGAAAAATTCAAACTGAATAATAAGCGAGTGCGAGTATCATCTTCAACGAAATAAATAAGTAATTACAGAGAAAATCATAAAAAGATACGGTTGAATGGAAATGTCGAGTTAACTCGTCCTTCCCAGTAAATAGGTTAAGTAAATCAGATGTATTCAGATGTTCCGTATTTCCTGTCATACTCTGTATAAATTATCACTGTAGGAGAGCCACTCGGGCTATCAACATACACGCTTTCATTTTCGAACGGTAACACCAAGTTGTGCCAATCACAGGAAGATCAAGAAGAATCAATGATGGAAGTATATTGATTTACTTGGTCAAAAGTCAATTCATAAGATTGAAGAAAGAAGAAGAAGTTGGCCGTCCTGTAATTCTGTGGCTTCCGTGATACGATACCGATGCTTGATAATAAATCGCTGTTGTTGTAGCTAATAAGTATGCTTACGTGATTGCAAATGACAATATCGATATTTATACGTATATATTAATTATTGAGATAAGGCCACTAGTGGGTGATAAAAATATAATATAAATATTATAGTTAAGCGATAGGTTCAAAGCAATGGTTAGCGACTACACAGTATGTCCAGAGAAGAATCTTTCTTGGTTATAAACGAAGTTATCGTGGTACGTGAATCCTATCGTACCCAGGATTCAAGTTATTGTCATAGTTTTCATCGTGAACCACGACTATATCTTCTTCGATGTACACATCGATCCGCACGATAAAAAAAAACTTTTGGGGAAATTCTTTGACACGAGCACATTCTTCCCAGACATATGTAGGATTAACCGGTTACCTATTGCGATGAAGATCTAATATATTATATATTAACAATAGACGTCTTGTAATTAGGGACTTGTAGTACTCGATACTGAACATAGTAATTTGTCCTTTCTTTAAAAAGTCTACTAACAACTACAATAATGTACAATACAGTTCACACAACCTGTA